GGGAGGTGGAGACAAATGCTGTGTGTTTAGCCTAAATCTGCCTGTGGTTTTGTTTCCTCTTCTTTGGCCTCTAGGGCTCCACAGCCCTCTTCCAACCAAGAGACAAACCCTTCCCAGGGTTGCTGTACAATTCTAGAAAGTCATGTGACCCTCTCAGTGTCCCTAGGACAACATCTGTGAGCCCAGAATAATCCCCCAAACCCCAGCAGACCCTTCATAATCCCCACATGTTCTCTTGAGTCTAAAGGTGGTTTGGACCGTTCTCATTTGAGACATGAGATCAACCTGCAGGAAGGGTTGACAAGATGGCTCTCCTATACCTGTTTCTAGACCTGTCCATCTTAGATGCCATAAGGCCAGAAAGGAATTTTTTGAAAAGCAGTTTAAGACTGGGGTGAGAGAGGTGGGTAGTGGCTTAGTGCAGAGCACGAGTCTACCATATACAAAGTTCCAAACTCTATTTCCAGTACCCCACACATGCACACAGAGGTAACAGATCTAGAATCATCTTAGAAGACACAGCCATCTGTCCACAAATCCAAAGCATCTGTTTGTCCTTCAACAATGGTCAGCCCAGCCCAAGTGCAGACACAGAGGCTGCCTGGCTCTGCTAGAATGCAGGAAGCAAGGAAAACATTCTGGGCCTGGAGCATCAGCAGGGCACTGCTAATCTGGGTGAGTGGTCACCAGGCATAGGAAGACCCTTGCTGGGCTCACTCATCCTGCGGGCACTCCAATGAGAAGTCCCGGGTCTGACAACCCCTGGAAGTTGAAGGCTTGCCCTGGGAGAAGGACCTGTCTGCACATTAACAGGAACTGCAAGTCAGGGGTAGGATGCGGCTCAGTTGGTGGAGCGTTTGCCTCACATGCATGAAGCCCTGGGTCTCATCCCCAGCACTATATAAGCCAGGCATGAGAGCACACGCCTGGAATCCCAGCACTTGGGAAGTGGAGGCAGGAGAATCAGGAGTTCAAGCCTCCACTACACAGAGGGTCTACCGCCAGCCTGGGATACAGAAGCTAGCCAGTACCAAGCAGGGGCAGCTCATACTTAGGAGATAACCTGCTGGACAGTCAAACAGTGACAGAGAGGAAGCCTCAGGAACAGACCGCGATGCTGGAAGCCTAAAGAGCAGAAGGAAGTGACCAGGAAGGAACGTCAAAGCCACGCACTGTAGCCCAAGATTAGGCCCTGATGCTGCGGTGCAGGCACTACAGCAAGATTCACGGCAGAGCCGGGGGGGGGGGGGGGGACACGCTAACAAGGCTGCTTCAAGAAGCCTGGTGCGGGGCACCCCAGGCACGAGGTACAGGCATGGTACGAGGGGCCTGGCTGGGATGGCTTGCTCCTAGAAGAGGTCAGAGCACTGGGCAAGGGCACAAGCTGAGAGGCAAAAGTAGGGAAGGCCAGAGGCACAGAGAGGTGGTGACTTGAGAGGGAAAGCAGAGGTGCCCCACACTCACACCTGGGTCTCTGAGCCCACGCTACTCAAGCCCGAGGAGACCCCAGCTGGGCTGGTCCCAGAGCCCCCGCTCCCTTTGGCTCTAATTCAGGAACCCCAGTGTTGTGTGTGCAAGTCTGCTGCATTCTGAAGTCAGCAACTTCATGTGGGCCCTGACCCCATGCGGTACTCATCCTCGGAGATGCTAGGGGAGATCAGGGCTGGAAAAGAGTTCAGCCATTTAGCTGAACAGCCCCGGTCCCTCTTCCCCTCACATCTGAGGAGCCTAAAGATATGAAGGACCTCCCAGGACCACCTGCCTAAGAGCCCAGGCCCTCCATCATCTGGACAAGATCTCTAACATCAAAGCCACCACTGAGTGAGCAGGAAAACCATGAAAAGGCATAGTGTAAAGAAGGCCTGTGTTTATCATCAAGGGACACGAGTTCAAGTCCTGGCACTACCACTTTCTACTCACTCTTCCCATATAAACACATTCGGGCTTTAGATGTTCACTTCCTTTTCCTGGACTCCAGGGACCTCATCCATAAGATGCGTATTAATAACCCTGAGCCTTCAGAGGGATCAAGGGGTTTAAAGGCAGAGCAAGGTACTGCCTGCCACAGAGCTGAGTGGGCAGAAATGTGCCGTGGGATAGCTCCGTGTGAGCATGCCCTTCCTTCCATAGCCAGCCCAGCTCTCAGAAGACACAAGTCCCCAGAGATGTCCTCCAGGGAGGATTGATTTAACAAGGAACAGACCTACCCCATGCCCTCCTCAGAGGCACAGGCACAGAGCCTCCTAGTTGGGAAAGTCCAAGGCACCCACACTGGAATGAGGAGAAGCAGGGAGATCACACTCACCTCTCCAGTGCCCCCACCTCTCTAACTTAACAACTGAACACAGGGGTCTCAGCATGGTGTGCCAACCCTTCCAGAATGCCAAGGTCAAAGGTCTGCCCTAGTGCATGACACTTGGAAAACTTCCCTGGATTCCTCTGCCCCTCTGGCCTGCCTCCTATCCCTCGATTTCCACCACCACCCACATTCTCTTCCCCTCGGAGTACCTAAGGGTGATGGTTCTTAAGCTAAGCTGTGCAAAGGGCCTGGACAGTTGTGGAAGAGAAGGTCTCTAGGTCAGGAGTAAAGATGAGGAATTTGCACTTCAACAGGTACCCCGTGTGGGCACTCAAACAGGTCAAAGGTAACAATCAGAAGCACGGACTTTATGTTGCTGGGTTTGGGGTACAGCCCAGCCCCATCACTGAGTGAAGGACCCTTGGTGAGTCCCTTCCTCAAGACAGACCCAGACTCAGCCTTGCACGGTTATCTTAAGAATGCAGTGACATGTGTGTTATGTCCCCAACACAGGGTGTGGTACATAATAAACAATAATGGTGCTGTAGCCACTGCCAAACTCAGTCCTCTGCCTTGAGTGCCTAAGGGAAGGCACAGAAAACCAGGACCAGGGGACCACAGTGAATACTTGAACCCCTGAAGGGTTGTGCGAACATTCAGTGGGTAGAAGTAACAGGGACACAGATTTCCATTCTGAACAGCAAGAATGTTTTAGTTGACTGGAGATGCCCAGCCATAAAGTCAACACCTCCAGAGTTCCCAGTCCCTGGAGGACCTGAGCGAAGGGGCTAGCTGTGTACCAGGTATGGATGCAGCCCAGAGAAGGGGCACTGGAGGCCGGTGGCCTGGAGCACCCCAGCGAAGGCTGGGGTCAGGTTCTGTGCTTTGGCCCCTCTCTCTTGTATGTTGGTTGGTCTTTCACTGTCTCTCAGTATTTACAGTGGTCACCTCCACTTTCAAGGGCCTAACTTTCTGACACATCCACAGCAGAGAAGGGAACGGTGGCACCATTTGCAATCTGGGACTACAGTCATCTGTCCTTATGTGTGCACATTTCTCAAAGGCCTGGGGTTCGCTTGTTCCTGAGAGGAGGGAACCTGAAGCAAACGGGTCCTTCAGACACCAAGCTCTTCAAGTTCCAGGAGGCCAGCTTCTCTGACCCTGTGAGTCCACGAGATCTTTTTGACAGACGGACCCTTTAAGCTCAGGGAGGTTAGGGAGACTGCCCAAGGACACACAGTGAGCTGAGATTTGAACCACGTTCTCTAGATTCTAGAGCTGGGTGTTAGGTCTGGTTAATTCTGGGCACACAGTCTTTAGGTCAAGAAAATAGAATGGAGTTAACACTAAAGAGGAATAATGTTTCTTATGACTCTCAGTGGTGACCCACTGACAGTTAAAACCAAGGCACACTCCCCTCCCGAGACTTCAGCTGCTGAAAGAGGTGGGCTAAAGCCGGACACAAGCATCATAGAAAGCTCTGAAGGACCAAACCCAGAAAAGCTTGCAATCCTCACCAGACTGAAACCTGGGAACGTGGTGGCTTGGGTCTCTCTCCCCATGCTATGTGCAGTTCAAGGTGTGTTCTGTTAGTGGAGGGTGGGGTTGGAAGCAGGCCAAGGAAAGAAAAAGACTCTGTGCCCACCGGCGTCCTTAGTAACAGCACCAGCTAGCAATGAATACAAACTCCCCAAACTTGGTGGGGCACATGCGAGGGACAGTGTGTGTGTGACGGGGTCTGAAGTTGGAAGGTCAGTGGAAGCTTCTGGAACTTGTAGACTGGAGAACCCTGTACCCCAACTCTTGTAGACCGAAGGCCCCAACTGAAGGTACCTTCTTGTTGCCACCTGCGCTCTCCTTTCCAGAGGAAAGCGTCAGCCCTGCGCCCCGCTGTGGTCAGGGATAGAGGCAGAAAACAGCAAAGTTTAAAGGGTCCAACAAGACTCAGAGGTCCTGCAGGAGAGCAGAAATGAGAAGTAAATAAAGCGAAGCCGAGGCGCACTCCTCAGTCCTGTAGCCCTATAGAGGAATCAAGGGCCCCAGGGTCCTCAAGGAGTCCCCGCTCGGATCCCTGCAGGTGTTACAGTCCCCTCAACTTGACCCGCGCTCTTCAGCCATTAATTACCTCTATGTGCTGGCCTGGCCAGCAAAGTTTAAAGGGTCCAACAAGACTCAGAGGTCCTGCAGGAGAGCAGAAATGAGAAGTAAATAAAGCGAAGCCGAGGCGCACTCCTCAGTCCTGTAGCCCTATAGAGGAATCAAGGGCCCCAGGGTCCTCAAGGAGTCCCCGCTCGGATCCCTGCAGGTGTTACAGTCCCCTCAACTTGACCCGCGCTCTTCAGCCATTAATTACCTCTATGTGCTGGCACTGCCATCCCAAGGGCAGCGGAGTCGGAGCAGCCCAGGGCCAGGGTCTCGTCGTCACCAAGACTCCGGGTCGTAGGGTTCTGGGCTGCCAGTTCGGCGGCCGGAAAGTTTCCGTGGGGCCGGCTGGGCCGAGCGGAGCGGGCCGGGCTGGAGCGAGCTCCGGCCGGCTCCGCGCCTCCCGCGGCGCCGCGGCTCTCTGCTCCCGGGCCACCGGCCTGCCCTTCCCTGCCAATCGCAGGCCGGGCAGCCGCAGCTCCGCCCGCCCACGGGCCCCAGCGGACGGGGGCGGACGGGGAGGGGCGGGGGCGCACCTGTTTGGTCAATCGACCCCACATCTCCACCACCCGCCGGGCCGGACTGGGCAGGGCTGCCAGCGCTCGCTCCCGCCCGGGCTTGGCCGGGGTCCAGGCTGGGCCACACGCCTCTCCTCTGGCCCTGCTCAGCCCGGTCCAGCTCACGCACGGCCTCAGCCCGCCCTTTTAGGTCCTTTCCCGCCTCCTCAGCTGTAGACCAGCGACAGAGAGATGACCAAAGCTTCACTTTCCTTACTCCTCTGTCACCCTCTAAATACCTCCTCCTGCAAGCATCGTCCCCCGCGCGCTGACCCCCTAAACTTTCACATTCGTCCAGCACCAATCTCCAACTTCGGGCTTGGAGGCAGGTACCAGAGCCTGAGAAAGGGACGGCGGCTATGATATCTCTGGGAAGGCATCGCAGCACGCCCATCCACATGAAAACTCCGCAGCACCCCCAATGCGGCGGGCTCGATGTCCCCGAACTTCCTTGGCCTACCATCGCCATCGCCCCATTTTCCGCGATAGAAACACTGAGATCAGAGCGGGCGAAACGCTTTTCCGATCTGATGACAGGTGAGTTGACAGAGTTTGCCTGGCTCCTGTCCCCGAAACCGGAGGATGCCTGGGTCCGCCCCGCCTGGTCCCGGCGGACCGCGAGTGGCCTGGAGGAGAGGAGGCGGAGGCCCGCGGTGGCGCGCGCCCGGCCTTACCTCGGCTGCAGAGCGTGTCCCCGCAGAGCGCGCCCGCGGGAGGCCCCAGCAGCGGCAGGGAGGCCCAGGCGAGCGCTCGGGAGGCCGAGCGCCCAGCGCCCATCCCGGCCCGAGTCGGCCCTTCCACCCTCCGCGGCACCTGTGGCGCCAGCGCTGCGCACGCGGCCTGGGCCTCGGGGGTCGAGCCCTGCCGTACCGGGGCTCCCCCGGGGCTCTTCGTGCCGTCCCGGCTCGGACTCCCACGGAGGTGGCGCGGACCCTGGCGGGAGCAGGCCGCCCTGGGCAGGGCGCTATTTTTAGCGGGAGCTGCTCTCCTAGTCGGACAGACAGAACCAGTTAATTCGGCCGTTGGGGAAGGGCCTGTCCGGGGAGCTCCCCGGAAAGGCAGCCGTGGCTCTGCTGAAAGCTGATCCTGCGCATTCCTGCCTCTCGAGGCGGGAGGGCGGGAGGACGCCTGTAATTCCAGGGGGAAGCCTGAGTCCTCTGAAGCTGTGCCTTGGGCCCAAGTGCACGCCCCAAGAGGGCTCTTGAAACTGACCTGGAACCTGGCCCCGCTCCTTTCATGCTCATATGCCTCAGATGATGGGGCATAGCAAGCATGTCTACCTTACTGAGAGTCCTCACTTCTTGTTAGGAAGAGTCCTTTCGATGTGGAGTCTGAGCCCCAACAAAGGACGCTGCCATCACTCTGAAGTTTCTTGGCCAATGTCAGATACTGGGCAGTGATGTGCCCTGGATGGACTAGGCAGCTTTGAAAGCTGGAGGACACCTAAGCCTGACACTTTTCAATGGTGTGGCCTTGGCAAGCCACCTCACTTCTGGATCTATCTCTCCTTAGAGCCCCAAGACAGTATTCGAGAAACCCTGTGTAAAAGCAAGACCACTACATACATGTTCCTTCCAGGAAGATGCAAAGACTCAGACAGGGATTTGCACTCAGGAAGCCGTGGGAGGGGGCTAAAGAGGCACACGTGGTGTTAGTAAGGGTAAATAAATAGGCTGGATGATTAGAATAGAGGCTGCAAAAATAGACTCCCACATGTATGGAAACTTAATATTTGGCAGAAGTGGTGCTTAAGGGTGGCAGAGAAAGGAGAGTCTTCTGTAAATGGTGCTGGAGCAATTGGATGTCCATATCAGAAAAAATGGAATTTCTCCCTCACACCATTCGTAAGTTCAGGTATACTAAAGAATTAAATATAAAAATTAACTGGGCATGGTGGCTCACATCTAAGCCCAGCACTTGGAAGGCTGATGCAGGAGGACTGTAGTGAGTTTAAGGCCAGTCTAGATTACATAGTTCCCGGCCATGAGCCTGAGCTAACAGTGAGACTCTGAGTCAAAACAAGCAGACAAACCTGTCAGAGGGCAGGATTTCTTGAAGACGCACAGAACATCAAGGGAAAGATGGATGCATTTAATTAAAATATAATACCCGTGTTTATCAAAAGAAGATAAATGAAGTCAAATGCACAATAGACAGAGGCCTCCCACACATCAGTTTTCAGAAGAGACTGGTAGAGTGTTGGCCTGGCATTCAGGAAGCCTTGATTTGATCCCCAGCACCACATAAACCAGGTGTGGTGGCAAAAACCTATAATCCCAGCCAAATGGGACGTGGAGGCAGGAGGATCAGAAGTTCAAGGACATCCTTGATGGACTACAAAGAGAACTCAAAGCATGTATGACCAGACAATTGGCAGAAGAGAAGAACATGACCAATAAATAAATCCAAAGAGCGCCTTACTGTAACCAGGGAAACACAAAATCAAGTCCCAGTAAAGTGTCACATTGCTCCTGTCAGGTTGGTCCCCAAAGTGGACAGAGGCATAGGGAGTGTGGAGAACACTCATGCCACTCTGGAAAACAGCTGGGAGGCACTGAAAAGCACCCAGCTATCCGGCCATCCTTTGGGGACACACCTAGTCAATGTCTTCTCTGCAGCAAGGCTGCCTATGGCCATATGCAGAAGAACATAGACACATTGTGGTGTGATCTGAGAAATTCTCTACTGCAGGGAGGAGGGCTAGACAGAGGGGGTCTGCGAATCTCCAGAAAGGGAGACAGAGCGAATCCAGAGGAACAACGTACATAACACCATTCATTTGGACTCTTTAAACACGAAAACCAAATACCCATATATCACACAGGTATGCACAAATGTAAAAGCAGAGAGCATGCAGAGTCTTGATAAATGCACCTTTTGACCAAGTGTTTATCCCGGGGAGGCAGAGGGTGATGCAGAGGCAGAGGGCAGTAGAAAGGGGCTCCCCAATTTAGTAAGGTTTTTTTTTTTTGACTGGAGTGGTGCATAAGTCTCTCTCTATCTCTCTGTCTGTCTCTATCTCTCTCTTTTGTCTGTCTGTCTGTCTGTCCCTGTGTGTGTGTGTGTGTATGTGTGTGTGTGTGTGTGTGTGTGTGTGTGTGTGTATGATGTTTTGGGGAATTGAACCCAGGGCCTTTTGAATGCTAGACAAGCACTGAGCTATTCCTCTAGCTCCCAAACTCTTTTTTTTTAAAGACACAAAGGAAGCCTGATGGGAATTCCTTTAAAAGCCAGTGGTGCTCCAAAGGATACCTTTCCCCTTTTAGTGATGTCATCATGTCTAGGTGCTGATGCATGAACACAGCCTGACTTGTGGTGAAGCACTCAGAAAACCTAAGGAACACTAATAGCTTCCTAGTCCATCTCCCCTGAAGCCCAGCCTAGATGCAGCCTGCTCCTCCCCCACGTTGGCCCACCCTCAAGCTAGGCCTCCAGGCCCTCAGCTTCCTGCTGCTCTGGTACTCCTAGCACACTGCTCTGTCTCTGCTTCAGTGCTTGTATGCTACAATCCTGCCATGGGAGACCCTGAGTGTGGGGGGGTGGGTGTTCATATCTGTTCTTGAGACATCTGTTCCTGTCCCTCACCGTCTGTATTATCACAAGATGGACAGTGGCATCTAGTTTGAGATTGTGTCCTGAAGCAGACTGGTTTGGTTTTTTTTTTTTTTGACAAGGTCTTGCTACTTAGGTCATTCTGATTTCAAAGTTGCAATCCTCCTGCCTCAGTCTCCTTAGTACAAAGATTATAGATGAATACCACCATATCTACTCATATCACCTTTCTGGGCCAACACTGCAGGCCCACCCTCTGCACAGGGACTCAATTAGGAAGATTTACGAATATAAGAGCTGAATGACTCCAAATACTCAGAAATCACGGAGAGCCATGCCAAACTCTCAGAAGGAAGACAACCCCACCACCTGGTGGACTGCTTGGTCTTCAGGAATGTCCTGGAGAGTGACATGAACTTTGAGGTCAGAGAGCGCTGCATTCACATCTAGGCTGAACCACTTACTGGCTGTGTGTTCTAAGGTACCATTTCATTCGTTGGAGTCGCACTGTCAGGGTCTGCACAACCAGGGTGTGGCAAAGATTGTCACAGGGAGAGATCAGGACGAGTCTATGAGATCACAGGAGCCAAATGCGTGGCCCTGTTCTTAGGTCAAGCAATTATGCGAATATTGGCTAAGAGGAAGACGTTTGCAGAGGAGGGTGGAAGTAGAAGGCTGGTTAAGCAACAACAAGGGTGTGAACCAGTCCTGAACAGAAGGACCTGGAGGCTGGCTCAGGAGCCGAGTGTCAAGAGCATGCTCTAGCATCCTCGCTTCATTCCTCATGCCAGCATGCTCCTTCCCAGGTGCTGAGCTGCACAGCATGCCAACTCTGCAGACCCTCTTTATCTCCCCATAGCCACCCTGTTCTCCTCCAATCTGTTCTCACACACATCCCAGGATCTCAATCTGGACCTGTCTTTTCCTTGCCAGCTTCCATCTGTAGGGGCGACAGAGCCTGCGGCACCTTCCCCGGGGGACATGTCTGAAATGATTTACCAGATGCATCATCTGCACTTGGATATGCAAAATCTACATATGTCCTCTTGTCAGCAGCTTCCGCCGAGGCAGCATGCAGGATTGGGACTTGCTTATGGTCCAGACTCTAGAAGATGAATCAGCCGGGTTACATGTTCTCCATGCAAACAAAAGCATAAAGTTGAGAGGGCTGGTCGGTTCCTGGAAAAGAACAGCCCTGTGCACTTCAAGCATTCTGATGAGAGATTTTCTAAGCTAATAAACCAGTCTCTTTGATTTAAATCCCATCACCCAGGTGACATAAACATTAGTCACTGATGGTCCTTTGTCTCATGCAAATGGGCCGTGTGAGGCAGCAATCCCACCCAATTTATAGTCTGCCGTGTTCTTTTTGAGGCAGGGTCTCATGTAGCCCAGTCTAGCCTCAAACTTGCTGTACAACTAAGGATAACCCTGAGTTTATGACCCTCCTCCCTGCACCTCTTCCCTGGGCTGGGATTATAAGTGTGTACTACCCTGCTTGCTTTTCTGTCTGTTTTGTGTGTGTGCATGACTTTGTGGGACATGCTGAGGATCAACCCAGGGTTTTGTGTATGTTGAGGCAGCATTCTCCCAACAGAGCCACATCCCCAGCCCCTATCATCTTTCTTTTTTTTTTTTTTTTTTTTTTTTTTTTTTTAACAGATCCTGCCTCAAGTTTATTTGTAAAAACAGCATGGGGTCCTGATCATCTGCATATAGTGTGTAGGTGTGTCACACCAGTCCATCTGTCTGGCAGACAGAAACCTTTTCTATGGGGCCTTCACAGGGGCCTGGGCACCTTTGGGAGCCTGAGCCGGAGCTGAGGCCTCTGCCTTGGTCCCTATCATCTTTCTTAATGGCTGTCTAGAAGACCATCCGTGACCTCCCTTTTGGCAACACTGAAGGATGCTCCTGTGCCTTCATCTCTCCTAACCTCTGGCAATATGTGGTTCTATGGACAATTCTGCTCCTTCTGTTTCACCACA